AAATTGAGTCACCAATCCCAAACACCACGGCGACAACAGTGTCACATCGATCATCCCGAATTTCTTGGAGTGTACTTAAACTTCATGTCGAAAATTACGTTATAGTCCATTGAACAAATCGATTAATCACCAATACACTTGTTGTTATTATGCACAACTTTCGGTTAATTGGGACCAATTATTCTTGTATGCTTTCGCATGTATCCATTTGACGGAAAAATAGCCATATATTTACCAACCCACGCGCAAAGATTACATTGGTTATGGTGATGTCAAAAGCGGGGGTACACACATAAAACTAAAAATGAAAATATGTAAATGCAAATTTCAGAATTTTTTTATTTGGCAGGTGTCCAGCAGACTAAATTCGAGAAACATATATTACGTACATAATTAGGTACATATGTAAATATATTAACATAATTAATCTTCTACATACATACAATGGAACTTTTTATTTTCGTGAACTACTTATGTACAATTAGACTTGCTGCATAACACCTGCCATTCTGGCTTCATCGGTTTTTTCACCGGCACCACCTAATCCAAATCGTTCACAATGTTTTCAAGCCTGCCAACTACTTCATCTAGAATGTTCGAAAGATCTGACTCCGAACAGACGCATCGCTGGGTGATTATATTGCAGTTGTAGGAATTTGCACCGCAAGGATTGCTGACATGACCACATTGATTATTACTGCAACGATCCGGACTTGATGGACCTAATACATAGAAAAGAATTGAAAAATTATCATACAATAAAGACACAAATAAAAAATAAATAAAACAAAAAAATATGCACGTGGTCTGACAATGTCAGTCATCTCTTTATGAGCTTTTTCATGAATGCACATTTTTTCGCCTTTGGTCGAATTAAGAAAAAATTCAACCAAAATCTAGATTTTTGAAAACGCTGATACTTTTCGAATTGTCGTCCGATTTCAAAAATTAAACAAATTTTCCACAGAATAACTTCTTTGAAGTTATAAAAATCCATTGAATTTTTTTAAACTTCATATTTTAATGCTATGTCTGAATATTACAAACGCAAGCAATGTTAATTTTATGAAAATAAAAGTGAATTTTAATAAGGTCAGGGAAGTAAATCTGATCTAAAATTGTGTCTAATTTTTGAAATTGAGTTAAAATTCGATAAGTGACAGCCTTTTGCAAAACCAGATTTTAGACGAATTTTCTATTTATTTTTATTTCACCACTTGCGGAAACATGGGCATTCTGGAAAACGAAAAAGGGCAGGTGGTTTTATTTCTGAGCGTGAACAGTTTAAAAGTTTCCCGGTCAAAATCGGTGATAACCACCCTACACCTCTCCCTTATCAGATTGTGGCATGAGCTGTGAGCTGTGAGGCTTCTTTTTGAAAACTGGAAAGGCTGAGGCCTCAGGTCCTCAACTTGAGGTCGAGGTCGGGGCCTTGAAATTTTCCGCCGAGGCCAGTGAGGCTGACAATGAGCCTAATGTTTTTGAAATTGGAAAAACCGAGACCGACCTCACTGAGATCTAAGATTCCCGATCTGAGGCCTTAAGCTTTCTCAGAGGAAAGCTAAGGTCATGTAGGCCTTTTTTCCTTTAATCTATTTTTTTAGTGTTACTTGATGAAAACCAGTCATTAAATTGTACTGATCAAGGAATAACATGTGAATAAATGACTATTAATTAATCAATCAATCAAGAGGCTAAGGCCGAAAAGTCAAAAGTGCAAATCAATAATCAAAACTCAAAGTAAAAATTAAGAAACCTGACTTAAATTATCAAAATAAACACATTATTTAAAAATTTGGACGCATTTTGACGCGTGAGGTTTTATCATTATATTATTGCTAGAATTTCATGGGCTAATCCTAAGTATATCCAAAATCCCTTTTAGACTTAAAATGGGGTTTAAGGTAGAATTATCGGATCGCATGAATAACATTTAAAATTGGGAAAAACTTCGATGCATTTCATTAGACGGGTGAGAATTTGACAACGGGGAATTGATAAAGCGGGGAACTTGTTGGGTGAGAATCGATGGGGGGGAATCGATGACGGGGAATTGATGGGCGTAAAAATGCACAGTACCGTGGCATGTGTGTACATTTTACAAGCGATCTCTTTACAAATTGTTTTTAGAATTTATACCAGTACGTCATCGCAAACCAAAATATCCATTAGCATAGCAATCGTCTGCGTTGTACTCAAAATACCCTTACTTTCTTACAACTAGGTGCCAAGAACCCAGTACAAAAACTCATTTATTTACCAATGACTTATTAACTAAAAATGATTTAAGAAATATTTTTTTACCAGACGGAATACAGTTACCAAATTCAGCAAAAGTCCCCGCGATGATTAGAATTGCGAAAAATTTCATCCTACAGCGAGTTTAAAGCAAGATATACATACATAAGCAATCAATTGAAGAATATCGAATAATTCCGAATCTTGGGATGGGTCTGTATTTATGCACGATTCCTACTTGGTATTTACGTCATGGAAATGAACTCTGCGTCAATCTAGCAACGCAAAATTGAATGTCAGAGCAAGAGAACGTGCTTAATTGAATTCAAATAGAAAAATTACCTCCCACAATTCCACCAAAATTTCGTAATAAATATTTATTAAGTTAAGTAAACCCTCACATAATTAATATATGCGGTTGCTCAAAGATTTTCGAGTTGAGATTAAATAATAAATTGCACATATGTACAATGCGAACAAAATTACTCGTAAATATGTATCATGTGCAAATAAATTAGTGTATTTTTTATTCATGAAGAAAACCTGATTCTCATTAGTGTAGGAGGTATAAATATTTATTAAGTTAGGTAAGATAAAGATTAATATGACTGAAATCTATAAATTAAATAATACTCACGTTCTACCCTGAATTGATTTCAGAATTCAGAATTTTATACATGGGATGATCAGACAGTGATTGCTGTTTGGTTGATTGGGTTGGCTAAGTACAAAAACAATTTAATACATTTCTAAAACTGAGTGATTATGGTTAATTACTACACTCTAAACAAAAATGAGCAAAATTTATCCAAAGTTGTGTAAAATTTGCCCAATGTTGGGCAAATTTTACCTTTTTGTTGTGTCATCCTCTTTTTTACCCAACCTTGGGTAAATTTTACTCATTTTTATTTAGAGTGTACATAATTACTAATTTCTAATTACTTGATTAGCGTGTGTCATATTTAATTATACATATGGAAATATGTACAATTTGACTGCGATAATTGCTAACAATTATCGCAAAAAACTTGTCAGCAGCTACTGACAATTTTTTCAAGCTCATCTTAATAAGCAGCCTAGTGATTTACAATTTTTCTACTACAAAAGTCCATAAATCTCCATTAGTTCAAAGGATTTGGAGTCGAGATTATATTGAATCTTCAGGTCTGCTGATGTCAAAACTTATAGCAAAATTTTCAAAATGATAAAATTCCGAGGCAAGCTTCGCTAGCCGATGGAAATTAACAAATTTTTCCGGTTTAGAAATTTTCCACAGTGGCGAGGTTTGTTGTGATTTTTTAATGTTACCGGACAATTTTTTTAACCCTGCAAACGAATTATTTGAAAATTGTTCAGGAACTCTTATATTGACGAAACCATTATAATTACGCAGCATTAGATAAATTATTAAACACGTGTTTCAGGATCTTTCATAATGTTCAACTTAAACAAAATTATGACGGAATCCGTGAGCGAGAATTTCCATTTTTATCAGGACATTTTTCTCGCGAATGAGAAAAACACAGATTCTCGCTTCTGAATTCCATAAATTCGTTTCAGTACAACATATTTATTTTCATACTAACAGGATTTTTCATAAATAAATTAACTAGCCAACATATCTATCAAGAATGTGATGATAAAATACATTAACAATTTTTTTAAATAGTACATACAAAACGTTAAAGTTGCCAGTAATTATATAGGCAACGAGCGGCAGATATTACGGAATTCTATCCGTGAAAATTATTTATCAACTATTATTTATGAATTTTTACAGCTTCTCGTTTTCTTTTTCTTCATATCTGCAGCCGGTATGCTAAAGTAATGGTTATTTACATATTTGTAATTTGGGAATGATCCCGTACACTTAGCGCTTCGAAACTCCGCTCGCAATTGTATAAACTAATTAGAGAATAATCGCTCGTCGCCGATTTTTAAGGTCGCCGACAAGTCAAAGGTCAGAATTTTCTTAGCACTACAAAATGAGAGCCCAAAAACAAAAGTCCATGGATAATTTTTTTTTGACTTTTTAATATTTTTTATTATAATAGTATGATCAATGCTAAAATTATTCTATAACCGATTATGTACAAAGTTCGTTTATGTGGAAGGGTGTTTACACAATAAACACTACACGATATTGGCCTTATCCAAAATACGTTTAAGTAAATCTATCTAGAACCTATCGCTGTAATTCCTATCGCGTTGCATCTGCATAAAAGTAAGATGCTCCTGTTTTTGCAACTTCCAAATTTTATGATCATATTCCCTCCGTTGTTCCTTCATATTATTCACCAAAGCTAGATTGGTCTTTGTCACAGCTTCAACCTCAGCCTCCAGCTTCTTCCTGTGACCTTGTTGTTCCTTCACCTCTTCCTGCGTCTTCTCTAACTTCCTCTTCGCCTTGGCTGCCTTCAAGTTGGCGCGGTTAATGGACAGATACGTTTCCAAAAGGCGTTCTGACTCTGGAGTGAATTCTTCGCTAAATTTGGGATCCATTTTCGCTCCGCCCAATTTTGATTTGCTTTGATAAATGACGAAAGATTCTCTTATCAGGTCCGAGTGTCGCGAGGTCAGTGCGGAAGGGCGCACACCGGCGGGATTTTCCTTGAGAAATTTTTGCATTTCATCTGTATAGAACGTTGAGGCCGACTGTTTCGCGATGATGAATTGGCTCTCGGCGACGGACTGGTAGACTCTCTTGATTTCTGGGAGGTCATTCCCTTCAAACAAAGGTGCCCAGGAGTGGACGTATTTGATCATTTCGGACCCAGTGACCTCAACGCCACCAATTTTTTTGGTGACGAGATGACCTGGGGACAGCATGAGGGGACGAAGGCGCCGACATGAGATGCAAATTCAGGATCGAGATTGTCCAGTTTGTCGTGTTGTTTGAATCCCTTGTCAGGTTCGGGCATCAAATAAACGCCGACATCCTGCGGAAAAATTAATTTTTGTTAGATTTAAATATACCTCAAAATTTTTGTGTTCAGTTTCCCAGAATAATTTGCACATTTACTTAAATATGCAACTCAGTTTTATAACGACTTGCATGTATGTATACAAGAACTCGGGTTTTACTAGATTGAGGTTTTTCGGGTTTTTTCTTCTAAAATTCAGTAATTTAAGTTAATTACGTTGTTTGACTGATTTTATTCAATACTTTGCTCCCAGTAAAACTCAATAAATTCAAACAATGCCCGAATAAAATTCCAGTAACACAAACCAAGAAAAACACGGTGGTGCCTCAGAATATAATACCAGGAGTTTTTCTAACCATGAATATTTAAATACCTGCATACCTTGTAGCTTTTGAGCAGTTGGTCATGCGTCAATCTCATTTCCGTCGGCTGATCAGGGTTGGAGTCCAACTTGTCCTTCTTATAGTTCCCCTGCTGTTCGTTAGGTACGTGGTTGTCGTCGTAAAATCCGAACTGGTAGTATTCGAGAAATTGAAAATCTCTGACGAGGAAGAGAAGTTTCTGGTAGGCGCCGTCTCCCAGCTCTCCACTCGCCGCGTTTCCCTCAAATTCCGGGACCGTCAAGGTAGCAAAGCTCGAAAAGAATTGAACAAACTTTAGCACGTCTTCGCCTACGTCGCGGATGACGTTGAAGATGAGGACGGACGAGAGGAGGGTCGCGATGGCGAAAATGATGGCGTTCTCCTGCATCGTGGTGTGGTCGTCGAATGAGCCTTGCGTGTCCATGAGGACAATGGCGACTCGGCGCCCGTTATGCGTCGTCCAAAACGGCTCCGACCAAAGGTCAATTCCAACCGTTATACGGTCAGTTCCGCCTAAGAAATGAGTTTGACTCAAATTAATGACCTCATGGCTTTTACTTAAAATATGCTGGTCATTAATAGTAAATGATTGGTATAATTGCACGGTATTTAATTTAACCGCATGCACCTCTACAGTTTTAATCGTAAAAATTGCTACATCTCCACTCACCCCTCCATTCAAAATTAGCCATATTTTTGGCATTCAAAATCCAGTTATTCCCCTGACTGCCGTCGTGGTTGAGATAGCGAATAAAATTGGAAAGCATGAAACTTTTTCCTGTACGTGTGGGCCCATTGATCGAGTAAACTGCGAAATAATTTTCCCCAATCTTCTCAAAGATGGATTTTGTTGCGTTTGTGTTAATGGAGATCTTGTCCTTGGTCACCTTCAGGATGGAGACCAGCTTTCCACCAGGACCCATTTTAGAACCTAAAATATTACACAAATTTAAACAGCATTTTCTGCATTGGTACACCAAATCAGACAAAAAACTGTTATGAATCGTCAAAAAATTGTAACACCGTTACAATTTTATGTAGCAAAATTTCTCTCACTAAACTATATTTACCGACATATTTCCGCTCCGACTTGGCCTGCGACTGGAGAGGGAACATAAAAGAGGAAAGTAAAAATAACGACGAATACCCTCACTGCAACCCAAGGTACAAATTTGTAGAAATAGCTTGCTTACGAGCGTGAGAAGGTTTTCCACTGATTCAGCACTTACTTCCACATCACATCTGTCAATTAACATGATTTTGTCGATTTCTTTAATTCTATCTTGTGGGTGTCTTTTCGTTAGGGAAATAATGGTATTTTCCCAGTCTCGAACCACCAAGCTGAACGCTTAACAATACTAGTTTCTGTATCATGCACCAGCCTGTAGAACATTGATCTTGTATCTTTCCGTTTGATTTGCTGTACAACTTCCCAAGACACTAAACCAAAAGAGTACAAATCTGCGGGGATACCGTAATTCGCAGAATTAGCTTCAGGTGCACGATATATGATATTTCCTATTTCGGGAGTTAGTGTTTTAGTGGCAGTTTCCTCACTATGGATCTGTCGACATAGACCAAAATCTCCCACTTTAACGGGAAATACGAACTCTTCATCTTGACTTAATGAAAACAGTATGTTTTCAGGACGAAAATCTCGATGTATAATGTTATGACCGTGGAGATATTTTAGCCCTTCACACATGTCCTTTACAATTCGATTTCGAACCGGGTGCAGTTCTGGGTTGTCCGTCTCATTATTTATGTTCAACCACTGACGCAACGTCTTACCACAGAGCTCCATTTGGATGCATAAGGACGGAATGTGGGTTCCTCGTTGAGCTCGAAGATAGAAGATTTGAAATTGGTCCAAAATTTTGTAATTGTTTTGAAGGCACGGTATTTTCAGCAAGACGTTGATATCCTCTACAGTGAAGGCTTTGTGAGTTTCTTTCAAGATTTGGACTAAATTGTCGTGTTTCTTGCCCTTCATTAGTTTGTATTCTCGGAGCAGTCGATATTTTTCAGTTTCGTCGTCTGGCGTGTCACCCAGGCCTTCGATGAATATGACCTTCACGGCGGTAACGTTAGCTTGTCCACGGACCTAACATTAAAAACAATGAAATTGTCTATGTAGTTACTACTACTATAATTAAAGAATTCTTTAATTATAGTTGCAAATTCATGAATTTGCAACTTATTATGTATTCAATCATCCTTGAAGATTCGTGAGTAATAGGGAAGATAAATCGACATAAATAATTATTTTATAACCAACTAGTGTATAAGCCCGTCTCCCGTTGGGCGAGAGCTTATTTGATTTTCGTAAAAATTAAGTCGGATTGTTCAAAGTTCTAGCGAATCATTTTTTACAATACATGAATATATGTAGCTAGAAATGTCTGTTGGCGAGGGAAGTGAAACTTTCTCCATCTTTACTTCCGTCACGGAAAATTACCTTCACTTCCGTTGCAGACAAACATTTCCAGCTTATATCATAAAGTATGTACAGGATTTAAAGCATGGATACGAATAAAGTTAATTAACAGTCTTCGCGTCTAATTTGTAATCAATTCCAAAATAAACTTAAAATTACCGCTTTAAAAACGTAACCGAATGACCCAGATCCAAGAAAAGATTCCAACTTGAGAACATCAAACCAGGATGCAAGTGATTCTACGTTTATACCATGGTCCATTTCCATGGTGTCCATTTTATAATTGTGGATATTATTTCAACAGTTTTACGTGCAATTAACATCAAGGAGAGAAATAAGTGAATTAATAATATTTTTATGCGCAATTAATTGAAACCGTTAAGGTAAGCTGAAGTAGTGATAAGATAAGGTAGACATGAAATACGTAAGCGAGAGATAAGTTGCGTAATTTCAGATAGGAGAGACAGCGTAGTTGGGTAGCGGCTATGTACATAGTGTCATTGAACGCACGTAATGTATATGACTTTTGTGGTTCTGTTATAATTTATAACGGCAAATAAATACTTGCTGATAACCAGGCGCCAGTGCAGTGGTGTCAATCAATTCATGACTCCGAATTTCGCAATGCACAAGTTGTAAGAGGTAAATATTTATGTTAAACATTTCATCCAATTTAACCTACTCGACAATTATTATTCCGCAAGTATAAAATACGAGAATATGTAGGACACTAGGACACCAGATAGAGGATCCATTCATATTTCCGTGTAAAACTCATATTTGGCGGCGTAGCGTGCCGCCAAACTTAAAAATTTGCATTTTCGACCAATTTCAAACCCCCATAAGTTTTGCCGTTTATGTCAGATTTTCAAAATTTTATGCTTAGAATGATCACAAAAGTCTAAATTTTTGAGAAATAAATTAAAATACAAATTTCTAAGTTTTGAACTATTTTCAGCATTTTTTCGACGAACCCCCATTTTTATGAAATTACGAAATTTTTCGAAAAGTTAAAAGCAATAAACCGTAGTAACGTTAGAAGTAGCTCACCCTGCAATATATTTAATTAGGATGTATATAATTTTGCACCAATGGTGCAGAATAAGTGCACAAAATAAGGATAACTCTATAATTTGGTTCCAATGGTGCATTATAATCAGAATATGTAGGTGTAGAATTTTAGGATTTTTTGCATCAATAGTGTAGAATAATGCGACAAATAAGGTTCATATGATTTAGACAACTTTGCACCAAAGGTGCGGAATAAGCCGACAAAAGAGATCTTAATTTTTATATATTCTTGCACCAAGGGTGCAAAGGAACGGAAAAATGAAAAAAAGGGCGAATTAGTATGCACCACCTGCGCAGCATGTGGTGCCAATTAAATATTTAATATTGAAACCTTTATGTCAAAATTATATGACTCTTTCTCCCGGAGATTCTTCACTATTGGTGGCGTGATACATTCGCGTCCACCATTATTTCGCATCATTTTGCGTTAGCGATTGTTAGATACCAACGGTGCTATTAATTTATTAAAAATGGACCTGGTTACATTTTAATTAGCATCAATTGATACAAAAAGTCGTTAACAGACAGACGGAACAGACGGACAGACGGACAAGAGGAATTCAATAGGGCGAGCTAATAAACGGGGAATAACAGAAATTTGATATAATGTTGCACCAATGGTGCAGCCAAAATGGTTAAAATTGTGACTAAATTTTGACACGATTTCAAGGTTAAGATATGTCTGGCAGGGCTAACTAGAACTTTCAGTCAATCATAACCATTGGTGCGGAGTACATCGATTCCTCCAATTATTTCGCACCACTTTGCTTTAACGATTGTTAGCCGTAGTAATGTTAGAAGTAGCTCACCCTGTCATGATGATTAGACAGAACTTTGCATCGAAGGTGCGGAATAAGCCGGCAAAATAGATCATAAATCGTATATATTCTTGCACCCATCGTGCAATAAAAACGGCTAGCCGTTGCACCATTACTGCAGCATTAGCGACGATCCGGCGACATATTTTGAAAACTTTGTCAAAATTGTATGACCATTTCTCCCCGGATATTTTGCACTATTGGTGGTTTTACATCCCTTCTCCCAATTATTTCGCATCATTTTGTGTTACCGATTGTTAGATATCAACGGTGCTATTAATTTATTAAAAAATTCGATTCGGTTTGTTCAATACCAATGGTGCGTCTAACTTATTCAATAATGGTCAAGGGATTTTTAAATAGCATCAATTGATGCAGAAAACTCGTTAACAGACGGACAGACAGACGGTCGGACAGACAGACGGACGGACAGACGGACAAGAGGAATTCAATAGCTCTCATGCTACGCAGGTGAGCTAATAATTAAAAAAAAAAATTCATGAGATAAGAAAGTTGAACTCCTGTCATGATTTTTGCCAAATATTTTAAAAATCTGTCCAATATTTCAATATGGCGGTTTTTAAAATAAAAACATTCAATTTTGGCGAATGTGGCGCCACGGCACGGCGCCAAATATAAGTTTTACACGTAAATAAGAATGAATCCTTCATCTAGGGCCCTAGTAGATTGTTAAAAACATGGTGGGTACCCTGGGCGCGACCGGCACCTTGGAGGTTTCCCTTGTAGTCACGGCGTGGAAATAACCCGCTATCAGTTCGGTGCAAATTGAGTCACCAATCCCAAACACCACGGCGACAACAGTGTCACATCGATCATCCCGAATTTCTTGGAGTGTACTTAAACTTCATGTCGAAAATTACGTTATAGTCCATTGAACAAATCTTAATCACCAATACACTTGTTGTTATTATGCACAACTTTCGGTTAATTGGGACCAATTATTCTTGTATGCTTTCGCATGTATCCATTTGACGGAAAAATAGCCATATATTTAACCAACCACGCGCAAGATTACATTGGTTATGGTGATGTCAAAAGCGGGGGTACACACATAAAACTAAAATGAAAATATGTAAATGCAAATTTCAGAATTTTTTTATTTGGCAGGTGTCCAGCAGACTAAATTCGAGAAACATATATTACGTACATAATTAGGTACATATGTAAATATATTAACAAATATAATTTCTTCTACATACATACAATGGAACTTTTTATTTTCGTGAACTTATGTACAATTAGACTTGCTGCATAACCCATGCCCTTTCTGCTCATTCGGCTTCATCGGTTTTTTCACCGGCACCACCTATCCAAATCGTTCACAATGTTTTCAAGCCTGCCAACTACTTCATCTAGAATGTTCGAAAGATCTGACTCCGAACAGACGCATCGCTGGGTGATTATATTGCAGTTGTAGGAATTTGCACCGCAAGGATTGCTGACATGACCAACATTGATTATTACTGCAACGATCCGGACTTGATGGACCAATACATAGAAAAGAATGAAAAATTATCATACAATAAAGACACAAATAAAAAATAAATAAAACAAAAAAATATGCACGTGGTCTGACAATGTCAGTCATCTCTTTATGAGCTTTTTCATGAATGCACATTTTTTCGCCTTTGGTCGAATTAAGAAAAATTCAACCAAAATCTAGATTTTTGAAAACGCTGATATCTTTCGAATTGTCGTCCGATTTCAAAAATTAAACAAATTTTCCACAGAATAACTTCTTTGAAGTTATAAAAATCCATTGAATTTTTTAAACTTCATATTTTAATGCTATGTCTGAATATTACAAACGCAAGCAATGTTAATTTTATGAAAATAAAAGTGAATTTTAATAAGGTCAGGGAAGTAAATCTGATCTAAAATTGTGTCTAATTTTTGAAATTGAGTTAAAATTCGATAAGTGACAGCCTTTTGCAAAACCAGATTTTAGACGAATTTTCTATTTATTTTATTTCACCACTTGCGGGAACATGGGCATTCTGGAAAACGAAAAAGGGCAGGTGGTTTTATTTCTGAGCGTGAACAGTTTAAAAGTTTCCCGGTCAAAATCGGTGATAACCACCCTACACCTCTCCCTTATCAGATTGTGGCATGAGCTGTGAGCTGTGAGGCTTCTTTTTGAAAACTGGAAGGCTGAGGCCTCAGGTCCTCAACTTGAGGTCGAGGTCGGGCCTTGAAATTTTCCGCCGAGGCCAGTGAGGCTGACAATGAGCCTAATGTTTTTGAAATTGGAAAAACCGAGACCGACCTCACTGAGATCTAAGATTCCCGATCTGAGGCCTTAAGCTTTCTCAGAGGAAAGCTAAGGTCATGTAGGCCTTTTTTCCTTTAATCTATTTTTTTAGTGTTACTTGATGAAAACCAGTCATTAAATTGTACTGATCAAGGAATAACATGTGAATAAATGACTATTAATTAATCAATCAATCAAGAGGCTAAGGCCGAAAAGTCAAAAGTGCAAATCAATAATCAAAACTCAAAGTAAAAATTAAGAAACCTGACTTAAATTATCAAAATAAACACATTATTTAAAAATTTGGACGCATTTTGACGCGTGAGGTTTTATCATTATATTATTGCTAGAATTTCATGGGCTAATCCTAAGTATATCCAAATCCCTTTTAGACTTAAATGGGGTTTAAGGTAGAATTATCGGATCGCATGAATAACATTTAAAATTGGGAAAAACTTCGATGCATTTCATTAGACGGGTGAGAATTTGACAACGGGGAATTGATAAAGCGGGGAACTTGTTGGGTGAGAATCGATGGGGGGGAATCGATGACGGGGAATTGATGGGCGTAAAAATGCACAGTACCGTGGCATGTGTGTACATTTTACAAGCGATCTCTTTACAAATTGTTTTTAGAATTTATACCAGTACGTCATCGCAAACCAAAATATCCATTAGCATAGCAATCGTCTGCGTTGTACTCAAAATACCCTTACTTTCTTACAACTAGGTGCCAAGAACCCAGTACAAAAACTCATTTATTTACCAATGACTTATTAACTAAAAATGATTTAAGAAATATTTTTTTACCAGACGGAATACAGTTACCAAATTCAGCAAAAGTCCCCGCGATGATTAGAATTGCGAAAAATTTCATCCTACAGCGAGTTTAAAGCAAGATATACATACATAAGCAATCAATTGAAGAATATCGAATAATTCCGAATCTTGGGATGGGTCTGTATTTATGCACGATTCCTACTTGGTATTTACGTCATGGAAATGAACTCTGCGTCAATCTAGCAACGCAAAATTGAATGTCAGAGCAAGAGAACGTGCTTAATTGAATTCAAATAGAAAAATTACCTCCCACAATTCCACCAAAATTTCGTAAT